AATCGGGACAACAAGGTTATCGGCAGGACAGGACTGCAAGGCCTCTTTTCTTACATTTTCACAGACAAAGACTTGGCCTAAGATACTGTTTTGTACGCCGCGCGGCCGACGTAAGCACCAGAAGCCAAGTGCCGAAATGATTTAACTCGGCTCGGTAGTTATTTTGCTCCAACTATTCAAAGACACAGAATTTCAGAAAACAATTTACAAATGTATCTTTTGAACAAGTTTGAGAAACATCTTTTTCAACCATATCTTGCTAAAGCGCGGGTTGTGGGTGTGGCCGAAATGCTGCCCGCCTATTGGTCCCCGCTAGGCTGGCTTGGATGGGAAATTGAGGTTCCGGGGGGGGGGGGCGTCCCGATAAAGCTCTATGCTCGAGAGCTGGCTACGTCTTACACTGAATTCAGGAAATCTCTCGATTACGCTTTACGATAAATTCCAAGTGACTACAACGCATTACGTGGAATTAAAACGGCACTAATTACGCTCTACGTTGAATTAGAGCGCCTGTCTACGTATACGTTCTACGCAGTATTGAAACGGCCAATTACGCTCTACGGAAAAGGGCTTGCGGGCCCCCATTTAATAGAGCTCGCCCCATGCACGTTCATCGGAACAACAGATTCCCTTCCAGAGCCGCCACCGACCTGAAATGCGACCCTTCTGTACGCGCTCGTTTGTCATTTTCCTTCTCAATTTTATTTGCATATGTCAATTCTTCTAATCGACAATATTTGCAAATCAAAATACTTTTCACCAGCTGCATTACGCGATCCATAGCCATATGATTAATAATAATCAAAATGATTTGCGCTTCTTAGCGACAAGTTATGGTACTGCAACGGACTTCCAGCTTTGATATATCGTGACCTGGACATGCCAGGGTTATTTTGATGGTAGCGCTAGTCTGAGTATCCTAGCAGCCTGTTCTGGAACTACAGGGGCGTTTGCTTAAAAGCTTCGAAGTCGGATGTAATCTCAAATCCTGCTTCGATTCATTCACCTCAAACTAGCTCAGAAGTCCGAATTCAGTCGACCAACAATTGTCTCATTCAAATCGCTGTTGTATTCCAGAACGTGTTTTTCGAAAATGGACCATGTTTTGGAATACAACAGACATTCCACATGGTGTTGTATCCAAATGATGGTAGTGTAACAGTGTGTGTGGGGGGGGGGGGGATCCCAAATATTCGAGGACGAATCTTGAAAAGAAAAGGGGGAGTAGTGTAACAGTGGGGGGTTTATAGACGCTACCAACTGACCCGAGTGGTTAGAGCGTCGGCGTGTGGACTGGTGCCAGGGGTTTTTATCTGTTTTTACTCGCTCCTCCTGTTTCTAAAGTAGATCTAGCGCTGGACTACGACTGAACGTGCCGACCACGCTGTCAAACATCCAGAGCTTTGTTTACAGTTGGTCATCTGGGCTTTATTGTGACTTTCAAGTAAGCCTTGTTAATCTGTCTGTATGCGATGTGTATGTTAGATTAGATCTAGAGTTTATGTTAGAACCAAAACACATGATTGCGAAATTCATGTTTTGGAATGGATGACGTTTTGGAATACAACATGCATTCCACTTCTAATACAGGTGCATTGCACTTCGTACTCGTGGTATTCCGAACCTGGTTTTTTGATATATTACATGTTGTGGAATACAACAGTCCCCGCGCTATTGGCACAGAAACTCTGGCACAATCAGTCTACCCAAAGCCCGGACTAAAAGACTTAGCAATTCGTTCCTTCATTGCACTGTTCGCCTCTACAATTCTCCAGTAGTGTTACTAGTATAGTATCTAGCTAAATCCTACGTGAACCGCATATTGTGTACAGATTTTAATTGTGTAATCGTTTTCGAAATGTTTTAATAGTGTGCTTGCCATGTTTCATGTGTACAATGAAAGAGTGTATCAAATCATTGTAATTATGTACGTATGTAATAAGGACGAAATTCGGGTATTTTCCCGTGAGAGCCATATCGAATAAAATTTGAAATTTGAAGCAAAAAGTAGAATACGCGTGTTGTATAGCGAAACAGCTGATCATTCTTTTATTGGTTTGTCTCCCGAAAAACGCCGGATTCACCAGTAGGGCCTGATGAATAACGGCCGAGTAGCAGCGCCACCTGGTTCCGCGCGGCTGTCATTGCAGTTCCAACTAGAGTTCCACGATCTCATACCTTCGCCAAATTATGTTAACCTGTGTGGTCGTGTGGCGCAGTCGGTAGCACTTGTTTGTTTGTTTGTCCGTATGTGATGCATATGTTTAGATTAGGGTTTATGTTAGAACCAAAACACATTATTCATTCGGTAGCACGTCCGGCTAACAACCAAGAGGTCGAGGGTTCGAATCCTACCCATGTCACCGACCTTGTGCCCTTTGAAAGGCACTTTACACGAATTTTCTCACTTCACTCAGGTTAAAATGAGTACCTAGCTTCGATTAGGGACGTCCCTCGGATAGGGACGACCCTAACGTTAAACGGAGGTCCCGTATTTGGGGAGAGCCACACGTTAAAGAACCCACCGCACTTATCGAAAAGAGTAGGGGACCTTCCCGGTGTGAGTGGTTCCAACCTTACAGTCCGCTGGATGAGACTGCCTCGCCCTGCTGCATTCCAAAACGTGTTCCATTCCAAATCCAAAACATGATATGGAATTACGCGAAGTGGGATGCATCTGTGTGTATACATTCCAAAACTTTCTTTTAGAATAACACGAGGTAAATCGAATGCATGTTGTATTCCAAAACATGATCTATTTCATATTCCGTAATCACGTGTTTTGGTTCTAACCTGAGGCCATGTTGATTTGAATATATGAATGACATCCTCTGGGAACCCCAAAGCTGATGCGAGCGTGCGAATAAGAAAACGTTTGGCCAAAAAAGTTGCTTTCATTGTGAAATCTACGTGGTTGAACAAATGTCACAAGAGTATGGTTTGGCGAATAATCCAGTCTTCACATTCATTTCTTTACATCTTTTTCGTTTGATTTCGGCATTCTACGACATTGGTATCGTTTTCCAATGCCTACGGTATTATTTGCTCATTTTGAAACTGTGCTGTTTTGTATGATTTACAGTATGGTTGAAAACTTTTGGGGGGAGAAACGGCCGAAAATTGATGCGCGCGCGGATGTCATCCATATAATCAAATCAACATGGCCTAAACCCTAATCTAAATAAACAACTTTTGTTATGTACAGACAAACAGACAAAGAAGCTTTACTTGACAGGCACAAGGTGGAGTCCTTGTGACCCAGCGGATGACCAGCGGATGACCCATCGAGCAGGGCCGTGACTCTTCGGTCATAGTTACAGGAAACGGAATTTTTCTTGTGTTTTTTTTCTGGGAACAGGCCAAATTCAATGCGCGCGCGGACGTCATCCATAAAGATTACATAGGGTGGCCTCACGTGCCATCGACCTTATCACTAGCGAGAATTATTTCATGCCGACCGACAATTCAAATCAGAAACTCCTGCTCCTAACCCTGGCCTTAAGCTTCCGATTACAAGAAGAACTTAGTTGGTGATGCAAAAATATCTAACAGTTCTACTAACTGTACTAAGAATCTGGTCTACTTGTGTACAATGTACTCATGTACAATGTATAACAATAAAGAAGTACTGATTCTAACTCTATTGATAGTAATATAATTTTGTGTCAGGAATTTATTACATTTTCTCGTTTTGTCAGCGAATTGTGTATAAATTGGCCGACATATTAAGTGGATATATTGACAGGATATGATAGTAGCATATTGAATATTTCTGTCTTTGTATGGGGTAGCGTTATATTAATACATGTAATATATTGTAACAATTTTCGTCGGTTTTCATCATAGGTTGGGCAATCTATTATAAAGAGGGGAGAGATGATTTGTCAATCAACTAAGTCTTGTTCTGCGTAACCTGGATTTCAATGCTATACAAATATACGAACTACAAAAGCCCGATACCTACCCTCCTGACGCAAAACTAAAAAGAACTACGCGGGTAACATTTGCAAAGCAAATGCATAATGTTTACCTTCACATAGCCTAGCTCGGTAAAGTACTTCTCTGCTTATTGTAACTACTTAGTCAAACACATTGATATATAATATATGTTGACCAGCTCTGTCCTGCTACAATATGTAACCCAACACTACAGGGTGTATGGTACAGCACCAGTTACCATGGTGACAGACGTATGGTCCAGGTCATTGACTTTATTTGTTTGAAGAAGGGAAGACGAAGAGGAGGAAGAAAAACACAGCAAAACAATTTGTTTTCCTTCTGCAAATGTAAATATAAGAATTCATTCTACGAATGGTCTGAACATTTCGTAGTTGCATGTGTAATTAGATTACAAATAGTCCAGAGTAAAAGAACGCAAGAGTATAGAATGACAATTATATACATGCGATCTGGATTGTATCAAAATGCAGAATGAAGCTTACCTGTTGTGATTTTCCCGATCAAAGGTAAAACGACACGTACTGATAGTTTAATATGATGTTGACCGTCATGATTTGCGCTTATTTCGCCCAGTGGTAGAAATTAAATTGTAAGAAAGCCAAGCTGTTTTTTACCCACTGGGAGGAGTGTTGTTCAGTTTTTGGTGCGTTGTGAGCAGGTCTATACCCTTGCATCTAGATACGACCAAAGTCTACACTTTGTGTACATTGGCATTCTGGACCATCGCATGCTACTCGTAGAACGATTTAAAATATCTGAGTTTAAAGTCTCCCAATGCAATTTCAGGGCGGAAAAACTAAATTTTCAACCTCTATTTTCTAGTCATTCCTTCCATGTTGTACGTTGATTCAACTGTTTCTCATGCTTTCTCAAATGCGATGTCACCGAAAACGACAACCTCTGTTTGTTTTGTATCGTAGGCCCATGTTCTAACTCTGTATTTATGGGCGGTACCCAAGAAATAAGGAGACATCTCACGTAGCTTGTTTCTGGGCTAAGGCCACACGGACTTAATTTTATGAATGACATCCGCGCGCGCATTAATTTTCGCCTGTCGCCCTCAAAAAAAAAAAAAGATCACGTTTAATCGAGGCTCTGGCCTAGCTCTATAGGCCTGGGTAGTCCATGGTAGTTGGCGACAATGCGGAGACGGGCACCGAAGCTACCGAAGCTCCACGACTTAAGACCTCAGTACATACGTACCGATTCATAAATTCCGCAAAAAGCCAGCATGTGCCGGCTTGTCGTATACGTCGCAAATTCACAACACCAGCTTTGTATTCCTGTGATTTAGTAGCATTTTTATTTTTGGCAGGAATTTTTTTATTCACCCACGCGCACTAGTTTGGGGGTCTTCAGAGGATGTCATCTATAAAATTAAGTCGGCGTGGCCTTAGTATTTTCTGGGCTAAGTACTTGTTTCTGAGCTAAGTATTAAATTATGACGAAAATGTGTTAAGAAATGGCAATAAATGCCAATATCATACTTACAGAGTTTTTGTTTTGCCTCCCTGAGATAGTATTGGATGCCTTTTTGAAAATAGACACATTAGACTTGATCTGATCTGATACATGTACCATTCAAACTTCAAAGCGAACAATGTGTCGAGGGTACACGGTCGTCGTGGTTCAGATGTGCGTTTAGACTCAAAACTTGCAAAATATCTTTTCCTGATAAGTTAACAGGAAAAAGGAGGTGAGTAGCCTTACCTAGACCAATCCATGCATATTTTATTCATGTATAACTTAGTAATTTATGCAAATCGTTCATATCTTATAACCTATGTGTTCATTACTATAAGTTAATTAATGTACAAATTTTGATTTTAGACACAACTTTGAGATCATAATTTTATTGATAACTGAGTTGATTTATGAAAATTTGTTATGAGGGATAATGTATTGCGAGGTTGATACATATGGATGGCGCAATGTGTGCATATGAGGTGTGGCCCTATCGCCCTCCAAATTTGCCCATGCTACGATGCATAACCACGGAACAATAATTAGGCCACAGCAAGTAAATTTTATGGATGACATCCTCCGCAGACTCCAAATCTAATGCGAGCGGGAGAAAAAAACAAGGCGGGGCGAAAAAAGAAGGTTCCTACATTTCAAAATTTTGAATCAATCATAATTGTACAAGTGGTTTTGATTCGGTGGGAACATCATATATACACAGCCAGCACCACATATCACTGCATCAAAGTAAGAAATAAAACATTAAATCAGAGCCTTTTCTTGTCTCCTCGCTTCATAGTTATCTGCCATCCACCTTCCGGCATGGCAACAGACATCTTTGCCCATTTTCAGCATGTTGTCCACTGTCAGAAGGCAACAAAATTTCTTTTTTTTTTCAAAACCAGACGAAAATCAATGCGCGCGCTAATCCATAAAATTTACTTGCTGTGGCCTTGTGGGATCCGTGTGCCGAACACCCCCACATGGAGACCACCTCCCAACAACTCCTCCCACCAACCTAACATTCCCACCGTTGCATGCCAACCACTAATCCGGATATACTCCATCTAGCTTTTAATCGACTACCTCAGAATTTAATTTCTTAATCGAACATATATACATCGTCGGTTACTATGCAACCTTGAGTAAGTATCAGAAACATTGGCTTAATGAGACATCATTAATGACAGCACGGTGTTAAAAAAGCTATCAATTGTCTCCTAATATACAGGCAATGATAGACCAGAAGGGTGTGATATAGGCCGCGCTAAGGCTAGGTAAACACAATCACTGTACCATGTCAGTTATGCGTCATTAATTACGTTCCTAGACCTGTTGATTCAGACCGACCCCCCGCTGAGTATCACGCACCTGGAAGGTTTAAAGGCAGACTTGTGGTTTTGTCCGGTAACATTTGGGACTCCGTGCGGACATTCATGGCGAGAGTTGCAGTTCCTCTGATCGTGTTGGTGGTTGTGGCCGTTGCTGTGGAAGGTAATGTCATATCTGTGGTTCATCAGTACTGTTGACGACGTTTGGTTCGTATTTTACTGTTGAGTGATTCTTTTTGCTCTTGTTATAGCAGCCCTGGTACGGCATGGCAGGTTTTGTGTCAACGCGTCAGTTATCGAAGACTTGTATTTCCAAACAAATGTTCTCCCTGGTGGTGACCTGTCTGAGATTTCCCCTGTGCTCGCCTGTCCAGGTGCCCCGGCTCCGGACCGCCAGCTGCAGGACCAGGCTGCAGTGTCCACCCTCCTGCAGCAGCTGTTCCAAGCATCGCAGCAGATCTCTGAGAATGACCAGTCTCCCAGGGTCAACCTACACTCACAAGGCCAAGGACACGGCGCTGGCGCGCTGCAGCTGACCGACCAGACAGAGTTGACGGGCTCCGAGGACGGCAAAACTGCGTTCGACTGTGAATGCCACAATGTGAGCGCCTGGAGGGACCCTTGGTGTGCTTATGTTTGCCAGTAAGTATCGGTTATAATAATTAATTCAATATTTCAATAAGCACAGGTTCTAATGTTTCCACGGAGATATGATTGAACACATGAGAAGCGACCGTAAGGTCGTCTTTCCACGGATTGCGCCCAAATGATGATAACTTTATTGCACAACAAGTGTACAGGGTACAAAGTATGGCATCTACTAGTACATATTAACTACACTTTCATAAGGTTAACCTAACAGAAGAGCTTTGGTATACAAATCTTAACACTATCAGATGAACACAACTATGAGTTGAGTTTCAACCAACGACGACTTTTCTTTAGAAGGTGACATGGACTAACGTCACCATGTCATGGGTCTACTCCCGTTACCTTCATGACGGCACGGTCATGTTTACCCGCCAAATTTATCCACCTTTGTTTTGCCATTCACTTGTTATAAACACTACAAATAGCACTCTGTTCCCTTCCCACGTACCTACTTAACATCTAAACATACCCGGCCGTTACTAGGCAGTGTACAATTAGAGAACAAAGATGAACGATAATTCGGTACACATCCCGACACGAACCTCTTCAGAATGAGAGCAAATATTGGAGTAAGAAGCTAACGACGTGCGTGTGTTTGATGACTGATAACGAAAACATGCAGTGGGCAGGAATCCTTCCCTCGACAAGCGGTTGATTTAAAAATCATTATCAACTACTGTAATACCAACTCCACAAAGCCTCACCAATAATCAACATCATCTATCTAAATTTAGATTCTAGAGCGGAAGCAATTGTTCTGGTTCTAAAGATACTGTTTTTTTACTCCCAAAAGGGAATTGTAATGGTAACTTGACACTGAGTTTGGAACAGGCAGCAGGTGTTCTATACGGCATCAATATTCCGGTAACCCTCCTAAGGCTACAGCAAGTAATTGTTATGGATGACATCAGCGAGCGCGCATTAATTTTCGCTTGATTTTGAAAAAAAAAAACAAGAAATTTTGTTGCCTTCTGACAGTGGTCAACAAGCCGAAAATTTGCATTTTTTTCCAAAATCAGGCGAAAATTTATGCGCGCGCTAATGGCATCCATAAAAATGACTTGCTGTGTCCTAATGTACTAGTAGTAAGAACAAGGCAGGACCACAGGAGCCCGACCACAGCCTAACATGTTCATAAACGTCTTTTGAATCCACAGGTTTGTATACCCGTCAAAAATACCGCCGTGCTTTGAATATTGTATTAATACAATTATGATAATGATAAAATAATCATTGCAATTTCATTCATTCGTTGCAACTGGACAAGAAAACAAGTCCAGATTATATAGTAAACATGCTATGGAAAAACAACAACATTGAAATCTAATACGTGAATATTTCTCCAAATCTGATTTGAATATGACATCTATCATACCTCAAGTTTTGTGACGTAAGAAGAAGAATGCAAGACGAAGAATGTAGAAGAATTTGTCGAAAAGTCTAATTATCTGAGACATTGAGAGTGATGTTTGGAGGAGAGGTTGGAGATTACAGATGTCTTCAGGTGATTAGAGGAATAGTTGTTTTTCTGGATTACGAAAAAGGACCAGATGACGATACGCAATGCTTGACTAACAACTGTTAATTTCGAGGAGAGGAAAATTTGACGTTTTTGAACAAGCCGCCTTTTCTTTTTGAATAACCGTTCCTCTCTCTCTTCCGATTGTTGTCGTCTTCTTGTATGCCGTCTTCAGGTTCTTTACGTTATTGCGGCACTGGTCCTTTATCTTCGAGAAACCAGGCTCCTCCAACATTTTTGTTTCGGTAGAGACCCCCCCCCCCCAGCTTTTTCGAATTCGGCGACTCCTGATCCCCAAAAGTAATTCTGAAGTCTCTATTTCCCAGAGAAACATTCACTGAAGTCTTTTGAGCAGTGAGATTGTAAAGAGTCAAAGGAATAGTCTACTAGTTTTCGGTGTTTGTTTGTGTTTCCACATACTTTAGTCATTATAACTTGACTGTGATGTTGCTTCATATGTAGGTAGATATTATAGAGGCGAAGGTCAAGGTCAATTTTGTGGCTTTCTTTTGTACTGCAGGCCAGTGCAGGGGGAGCTTCATTTTACATTTCCTGTATTGTCCATGTGCTATGGTCTTGAATCTGAGTGACATTCGGAAGACGTGATGTAGATTTTGGCTCCTTCCAGCTTGTTTGTTAGTCTCTACCAGACTAACTACGCTGGCTATATATAGGAGAATATTTGCCGGGGGAGTTTGGCTGCCTTGTAGGTTTGACTGGCCGCGCAGGAGGGAAAGAAACTACCTTCCTGCGGCCGGACTCCCTTGGCCCATTTTGTTCTCTTCTTTGCCGAATTCTACGATCCGTATTCCCGTAGAAAGGCCAGGTGGAGGCTAGTTGTTTGTAACTTTAGCGGCATTTACCGTTTTGCTTATGCGGATCGATAGCTTTGACAAATGGGGACCTGAAGTGCATAATTAATTGAAAAATGCTATTCGTTCTAAGTACCAAGTAATGGGAATGCTTGTGACGCATGTGAGTTAGTTTAAGATGAACATTACCATGCTGTAGATTATGTAAAATTTAACGTGGACTTTCACACTTACAATATATGTAATCTGTAAATAAAAAAAAAACTGTTGTATTTCCGGTTTCCCGACTGAGGCTAGCAAAACTATTCTAACTTTTTTTATCGACCGCTGTCAGGCCTTACGATTTTCAAGCTGACAACTAAATATTGAAATCCTCTGAAGCGCAATTTCATGTATTTTCGGAAGCAATTTTTTTTAGTAAATCTGGTGAAATATTTGTCCCTTTCCCACAAATAAACAGAGGGACGGGTCCCGGAGACAGGGAGAGAGAATCACCTACCGATCCTAACTTTTCCAGTCCGTAAATTCAAACACTCTGTTGCTTTAATAAACAGAGCGATAATTGATATTTTCATGCTGAGCCGAAGATGGCACAGTTGTCATATATTTTATTGTTAGGCCACAGCAAGTAATTTTTATGGATGACATCAGCGCGCGCATTAATTTTCGCCTGATTTGGGAAAAAGAAAACAACAAGAACTTTTGTTGCCTTTTGACCATGTGGTCACCATGCCGAAAATGGGCAAAGATGTCTGTTGCCATGCCGGAAGGTGGATGGTAGATAACTATGAAGAGAGGAGACAAGAAAAGGCTCTAATTTAATGTTTTGTTTCTTACTTTGATGCAGTTAGTTGTGATGTTTGCTGTGTATATGTGATGTTCCGATCCCACTGAATCAAAACCACTTGTACAATGATTGAGTCAAAATTTTTAAATTTAAGAACCTTTTTTTCGGCCCGCCTTGTTTTTTTTCACCCGCTCGCATTAGATTTGGAGTCTGCGGAGGATGTCATCCATAAAATTTACTTGCTGTGGCTTTATCCCGTCCAATGGAGTAAACGCCTTACTACGGCTGTATTTCCCTCAACAGGCAGGCGATAATTGGCTGATGTCGGCAGGTCCTCACAGTCCGGACTGCAGACCGTGACGTCACAGCAGCGACGGAAACGTCGGTATGATACCCGCAGGGCCACGGACATCCCAACGTCATGAGGAAATTTACGGAAGACAGACAAAAATGAAAGAACGTTACGATAACTAGATTAACAATATAAAGGGACACTTATTATAACATGTGAGGAAATGTAGTCTTTGTCCTGTTTCATCTTTGACAAGTAAAAATCAATCCTGATATCAGCGTCATACGTAAGAATATTAAAGCTAAGCTGGTCTAATTGAGATGGAACTGAAAGTAAATTTTGTTCTTATAATATAGCAAATTCTAGTTTGTAAATACTGTCACAGCGTGCACTGCGATATCATTAACTTGTGTACTCACGGTTCATAAGAAACATATTATGACCAAATTAGTCATAATTCTGAACATTTCCAGCGCCATGATAATACGGTATAACGCTACTTCATTTAGGCGCAGGGGGAGGGGGGTTAGACATTATACATTTCATTGTATAAACATCTTAAAAGCCACACAAATTTCCAAACGTGTCACGGATTGTGGCTTGTTTGTTTTGTTTGTTTAAGTTGTTTAAAGTAGGTGTAGGGTGGCCATGTCTAGATCTAAGAGGTTAAAGGCATCCAATGCGATTTCAGGGCAGCAAAATTGGAAATATTCTGAATAAGGCAAACTTTGCGATATTGACACATACAGGGTTATATTGGCACATTGCAATCAGTACTAGTATTTCATACTTTGGGCGTTTAAAACAGCAGAAACAAGCCCAAATATGAGTCCTTTATTTTCTTGGTGGTACTCTAAAAATTATCCCAGGGCCCTTCCAGTAAGCATTTTCTGTCAGAATTTTTGCTCCATGACGGCCAATAGACATTGGGGCAGTGTGGTTTCAACTCACAACTCACTTCAACAAACGACTAGAATATTGGCTTTGAAACATCGGGTTTCCAAGCCCTACAAACTGCACTGGATGCCTCAGAATCATAATGATCCTCACCGTGACATAAATGAATAAATGAATATCGTTATAATATTAACTCACCAATTAAAAACTACGTTAGGCCAATATATATTTTTATCTCGTCGGGAAACAGTAACAGGCGATTCAACATCAGGCCTCAATTCACTGTGATCAGCCGGGTACAAAAGATCGCGGACGCACCTCAGACAGAGGACATTGCTGCTTCCCTGAAATCATCCGCGGTAGCTCTAGCCTCTACCGGGCACCGCGGATCGCTGGAAAAATAGTAGAAATTGGCCGAAATAAAGGGATAACATAGCAGAGAAGATCCTATTCGCGATCCACGGAGCCTGTCGGGGGTCCCTAGCTTCAAACGATATCAAATTAATCCCCCAATATTCGATCTAGTTTCTAGTACGAATATTGGGGGGATTAATTCGTTTGAAGCTAGCGACCCCCGACAGGCTCCGTGGATCGCGAATAGGATCTTCTCTGGTATATTATCTCTTTATTTCGGCCAATTTCTACTATTTTTTCCAGCGATCCGCGGTGCCTGGTAGAGGCTATGGTAGCTCGGCCAATGTACACCATAGCTGAGGGTCTATAGGGACCTTCAGGCAAAACTAAAAATACAACATATGTTTATGATGTTTATGATGTTTTCATTCCCATTCCGAAATTGTACCATTGAAAGTTATCCAGACCATTACATATTACACGTACTAGTAGGTACGGTACAAGCTTTTCTTTTCCTAACGTAACTTTAACCCAATCGACTGCTCCTGGTGTGTGTGTGTGTGTGTGTATGTGTGTGTGTGTGTGTGCGCGCGTGTGTGTGTGTATGTGTGTGTGTTATGTCCAGTCCGAAAACATTTCCATATAAAATACGTGTTTTTCATAATAAACTAAGATTTAATTATTAAAAATGTCCCTACTAAGGAATGGACTCTTTATATGACACCAGACAGGAGTGACTATGTTTCAAATTTCCGATTTATTTTTGAGAACCGACAAGTGACACATTGACCCGAAGCTGCAACATGAATCTATTCATTTTTCAAACAGACAGTGCTCCAAAGTCATTCGGTACTAGAAACCTACAGTAAGGCCCTAGGCAACACCAATTTAATTTGTTGGTTCTCGGATTTAAAAAAATATGAAGCGGCAGGGCGAAAAAAAAATCAGGTTTAGGCATCCTATTCAGATAGCCACAAATGCTACGAAAGGAGCCATGAAGTCAACACAAAAGGCTGGGTTAATATTTAAACAGTGAAGTTTTAAGTTTTAATCAAACTAACGCATTGATAGATGGAAAAACTGTGCCAAATAGGAAGAAAGGGACTCTCCTTAACTGTTGCGGGGCAAAAAATGGGCATTTTTGAGATGATTCAGAACCAGAATCCTTTTTTTTTTTTGCAAATCAGAAAAAAATGAAGAGGTGAATCCGATAACCAACAAATTAAATTGTTGTGGCCTAAACATCACTCTTTAGATGACAGACATCGACGTTTGCCGCCCAGCAGTGCTCGGTACCGGGGTTGAAGCTGCAGACTCTGGCTAGTGTCGGTCCTCAGGTCTGTTGGGAAGAAGGAAGACACAGGCCAAGACTTAATAACGCGATCTCAAGACACAAGAGGGAAGACATTAATAATGATAAGTTTTACTGTACATTATCGTATATCCAGAAGATCTTGACCTATCAGAAGTCCACATTTCATACTTGTTACGACGTCATAACCTCACCACGGTCACTGCACGAAAACTTAGATTTACCGGGCCAATATAGTTGGGTAATGTTTACTTTGTTTTTTCTTAATAAACACTCAGTCTGAACTTCAGGAAATAAAAGTCAAGTACGATAATACCGGACTTTTAACGTTTGTAAAGGAAATTGCTGCAATTGACCTTTATTTACTACCATTGTACAGCCAGATACTGTGTACATAGTCAACATTACCTGAGTTTACAACCTTTGGTAAATCCAACTTTTCGTGCGGTGGGTGGTGAATAATGAATGAATGAAAGACCTTTATTGCACATTTATGCTCTTTCGAGCTAAGTACAGGTCGTGATGACAAACTAAATAATACTATTGTTTACAGGATCGACTTCTTCTCGCTTCTTAAAACAATTGTAGATGAATGAACATATAGAACTTACAAAACACGGCTTGTCTAATTTCATAAGATATATAAATTTGTCTAAACTATTCAAATATTTAAAGCTAGGAAACTTATTTTGAATACAATTAAAAAGAATATTTCGCTCGCTATTGTATAAAGAGCAATCTACAACAAAATGACACTCGTCTTCTATCTTGTCTAAATCACAATATCGGCAAATTCTTTGCTGCAAGGGAATGTGGTTGTGTCTGCCTTTTTCTATGTGGAGTTTGTGAGAGCTAATCCTGAGTTTCGTGATGGCTGTTCTGTGTTTGATGTTAGAAATCTTTAGATAATCCTCCTCGAGGTAAGCGTTTTTTAATAATCTATATGTTCTTAGCTTGTTGTTGTTACGCATCTCCATTGTGGAAGATTGAAAATACATGTCTTTTAAACGTTGGTGGACGGATGGAATAATTTGAGAGGGATTCAAAACAGAGGACATTGGTGAATTCCAGACAAAGGCAAAACCACATTCCTCTAGCGTCTTGCGAACTCCAGAAGCCCAGCATTTAGCACCTGATGTGTCCAGCTCAAGCTGACACAGAAGGGCATCTGCTGAGAGACTATCAGCTGGCACGTTCTGGCGTATTCTAATGAAATGTTTGATGGCGTTGAGAGAGGCTTCTAGTCTAAGAGGATATCTCCCCAATTCCGCCATCACAGCAAGATTACAGGCGGATTTGGGGACATTTAATGATTGTTTGCAGAATTTTAAGTGGATGGCTTCAATTGGGGATGATTTTGGACTTTTAAAGGATCCCCAAATTCAGAACCATACAACAAGATTGGTTTTACGCATGCATCAAAGAGTTTGTTTTTCACTGAAATAGTAGCGTCTGCTTGGTGAAGAGATTGATTAATTCCAAAGAGGGCCCTCAGACCTTTGCTGTCGTAAGTACTTGTTGTTGCCTTGAACGTGCCAGCTGAATTAACTATAATACCTAGGTAACAATAGTTTGTCACAATCTCTACTACATTGTTGCTAAACAGGAAGTGACAGTCTTTTGG